TGGTGAGTGTTATCTTCATTGTAGGTCTCACATTTTGACAAGTAAAGAGCTTCACAGCCACTAGTGAATTTGATTTCCAAATACTTAGAGAATGACTACGCTTAGTGAATTAAACTTTGTTGTTCTAGGCAATTAAGAAATTTTAATTATACCACATCTCAAGTAACTTTCCATTAGAGATTTTGATACATTAATGGATTTGAATAGGTAGAGCTGTGAGGAAGTTTTGTAATGTCTAGACAAAAATGCATCCAATGCCATGTAATGATATGTATGTGTGTGTTTTTTTTTTTTTCTTTGCAGCCTACATGAAACAGATATTCACAAGGAAGATCACCAGTTAGAACCTGTTTATAGGTCAGAGACATTCTTAGACAGAGACTACTGTGTGTCACAGGGCACCAGTTATAATTACCTTGACCCAAACTACTTTCCAGCAAACAGATGACATGGAAGAGAACATCATATACTAGTCCTCTTCAACACATAGCAATGGTATCATTGTGAATTATGTGCACAGTTTGGAAAGATTCTCTGCTTTCCCTGAAATGACACTCACAGCATGACAGCTTCCTGAGTGTTCTCGTCAAGTCCAGCTCTGCACCGTTGTGGCTCTAGATCACTGTTCAGCAGCTGAACATTCCTGGTGAGCAAAGGGTTTCCCTGGTGAATTTCTCACCACCACCCTAAAGCCTTTTAGGTGGTGATCTTAAATGGGTGAGATGGAAACGAGAGCACACATTAAAGAGAGAGTAAATTCCAAAGGTTTCCAAGAACTCGGTCATAAATAGGATAATGAGAAGACAAAGTATTTATCTTAAAACAGTTTAGTAGCTTTCAGTTTTGTGAAAATAGTTTTCGGCACAGAAGCTGACTTCTTAGACAAAGTTTTAACCAATGATGGTTTTGCTTCTAGGATATACACTTAAAAAGAACTCACTGTCCCAGTGGTGGCCACTGATGATGGCCTTTAGTAAATCGGAGCTGCTTAACCATATTGATGTCTAATTTCTTTTAACCACAATGAACTGTCCTTCTTACCAACAGCGAAGCACTACAGGAGGCCACTGTGGCATTGCTTCCTTGACCAGCTCATGGTGTGTGAATGTTATACAATTGTCACTCAGATATATTTTTTAAATGTAATGTTATATAAGATGATCATGTGATGTGTACAAACTATGGTGAAAAGTGCCAGTGGTAGTAACTGTGTAAAGTCTCTAATTCACAACATTAATTCCTTTAAAATACACAGCCTTCTGCCTCTGTATTTGGAGTTGTCAGTGCAACTCATCAAAGAAAACTGCCTAATATAAAAATCATATATATGGTAATAATTTCCCTCTTTTGTAGTCTGCACAAGATCCATAAAAGATTGTATTTTTATTACTATTTAAACAAGTGATTAAATTTAGTCTGCGCAGTGAGCAAGAGTTCACATGCATTCTTTTATACTGCTGGATTTTGTTGTGCATCATTTAAAACATTTTGTATGTTTCTTCTTATCTGTGTATACAGTATGTTCTTGAATAATGTTCATTTGTCAGGAGAACTGTGAGAAATAAACTATGTGGATACTGTCTGTTTATATTATAGAATGCTTGTTGTGAGTTCCTTTTGGTTAGATTTTGGAGTTTTTTTTACTAGTGTTAAAACAAAAAAAAATTCTTTTCAAGGGGTTGCTTTACCTTTTTGTCCTTTAAAAAAAGAGTAAGGACTATAATATTATGGAAATGGGTTGAATGTGAGAAGCTCTGGAAAGATGGTTATGTTTTCACTCAGTGTGTGCTGAGACACTAAATTAAACTGGGTTACAAAAAGAACACACACCATGGTTAAAGAAGGCGGCTATTATTAATGTCCAGATGTGAAGACTATACTTAGGCTGAAAATTTTATTCTTTTGGACGAAAGTAAGCCCCCCCTCATGTGTTTAAACAGATGGTTTTTGAAGATCACTGTATGCACTGACAATTATTATTGACTATTGGAAGAGATGATATAAATATTCTAAGATTAAATATTAATGTCTTATTTTTAGAGTTTTTTCCAATTTTAAATCTAGGGGACATTATTTACTAGTCCTTCAATATGTTGTGAGGTACGAAAATCATACCTTGAATTTTTTTAATTGAAAAAAGTAATATATTTTAAATATAGAAATATGAGGGTTTTAAAATAATATATTGATTAAATATTACTGATGATGCTGATAAAATATATTGCATCAGAAAGAACAGGAAATGGACTTAACCTCTCACCGTGGAATTATTAGTTGGGAGAAGAGGGAATTGTTAACATTTGGGCATGTTGATATTAAATGTTAAATGAATATGCCAGGAGTTCTACATGTAGCAAGACAGCAGCACTTGATGGAAACTTGTGTTTTATAGAGATAATACCAATTGGTTTTGGAGAGCCATTCAGGTCCATTCAAAAAGTCCCATAAAGTATGCTTTGCAAGAGGGCTGTGTGTGATACAATTCTGATCTAAACAATACACTAAATAAATCTACTTAAATGTATTTTCCAAGGTCAGAGATTTTGAGAATTTTGAGTGGCAAAGAGCATTATTTTCTGCTTGACTAAAGATGTGTTTATTTTGTATTTTGTATTTTTCAGCTCCAAGCATATAGTCCTCCTAAAGGGCATAGTAGTAGTAATGTGTTGTCATTTTAATTGGCGGACTGGAAGAATGGGCAAGGCTGTCTTTTGCAAGTAGTCCTTCCATCTCCTATAAGGAAGTATTGCCTTTAAGAGGCAACATAGACTGACTTGTTAAAAGCATCGTATATTAAGTGGTATTTAGTAGGTCAGATGTATTTCCTGAGATATGTTCAAGTTATTTGCTAAGAACTGAAGGAACTTTGACACCTAAAACCACTGATCTAAGCTTTAGGCAGAGGAGGTTTTGATTGGTGTGGTATGCACTAATAATAATAGCAAATACTAATGAAGTGCTTACTGTGTGCCAAGCAAGCATATGATAGCAGATTTAATTCTCACCACCTTAGGAGAAAGGTGTGTTGATTATCCTGTTTTCATATGAGGAGATCTAGCCAGAGAGCTTAAATAACTTGCTCAAGGTCATATAGTTAGTGAAGTTTAACCTAAACAGATTGCTCCAGAGGCACTACCCAATCTCTGGAGCAAGAATATTCCCTTTGTGTCAGGCGTCACTAAGGTGTTGCAGGTGGAATTGTGCAGGGGTTGCTTTTCAGTCTTTTTTTCTGGTGTGGTGTGGCTCCTAGAGTTACAAACCTTAGCACAGAATAGAGAAGCAGATGTGTGGATGGGGGAAAAGCACTGAAATCGTCGGCCATGGTGAGTTAGAAAACCACACATACATAGAATTTACGTAATTCTGATTTGACAGCAAACATGTGACCATGAGGCTTTAGGCAAAGTCTCCTGTCTGAGACAACTTGTTTCCATGCATGTTTGGTGCCTCTCACTTAACCTAATAGTATGCCTTATCCAGTTCTCCTTTTGTTTAAATTACATTACAGAACAGTTATATACTGAGATATGAAGAACTCTTTTTTTTTTTTAAGAAAATAGTATATCACAGGTAGTAAGGATAAATACCATTTTGTGAAATTCCTTTTTTAGTTGTAACTGTGGCATGCTATATAAACTGTATTTTTTTAATGTGGGTAACAGTTTGAAAGCCATTGCTTTAGGTGCACTGGAAGTCTCCAAATAACTAGTTTTTTTCTCACAAGGATTATGGAGGCATTGTCATTTTTAGGTTATTAAGTGTCTTTATTTCTTAACCTTATGAAAATACGCTTCTGTTGATACGATCCCCCCCATGACTTTTTTTTTTTTTTTTTTAAACTTCTCATGTAGCCGATTAAATGGGTTCTTGAGAGTGGTATCACATTTAGCTCCACGAGGACAGAGACCATCCATGTCTGTCCGTATCCCTATGGCCTGCCTGGTTCTTAGTAGATTTTCAGTAAATATTTATTGGTAGTATGACCAGTGTTTCCATGAGTTACATTTTTTCTCCAGGAAGGTAGGAGAGAGAGACCACTTATGTCTGAGCGTGTCTGTGAGTGTTCACGTGGGGCCCTCAGAGGGCCTGCCTCAGAGGATCTTTCCAGGGCTCTGAGAGGACTGAAGAATTGCATCCTGTCTCTTCTGGAGAATGTGGTTCCACCTTGGGCAACTGAGAAGATTATACTTCTCTCTGGGTCCCCAGCTAGGCCATGTATCTTGATTCTCTGCCATGTTTTTAGAGTGAAAAGACACTAGAGTGGAAATTCTGGGTCCCAGTCCCAATTGTGAGGCGCACTCAATAAATGTTGACTAAAAACCACCTTTTATTGAACAGTAGGAACTAGTAAATGATTTAGAGGTATTATTAACTTGTTTAATCCTCGCAACTCTTCTATGAGGGTGCTTATTATTATGATCTCTACTGTACAGGGAAATAACGAAGTTTCAGGGGATTTAAACGTTAGCTCTCAAAAATTGTTATGTGTGGAACTGAGGATATAAAGCTTTGCCCTTATGGAGCTTATAGTCTAATGCAGCAGAATAGCAGTAAACAAGTACATATGAAATATTACGTAAAGTTAAGCAGAGATAAATGCTGTGAAGAAAAATAACGCTTAAAGAAAAATGATGGAAGAATGGGGACCCGCCTGTCAGTTTAGATGGAATAATCAATGTCTTGATGACGAGAGTAAATTTGAACAGAGACCTGGACGGAGTGAAGGAATTAGCTTGTGGATAACCTGGTGGAAGAGGCAGAAGGATAGCAACAAGGGTCCTGATGGAGCAAAGAGCTTGGCTTGTTCAGGCAACATTAGGAGGACCAGGTAGCTTGAGCCAAATGAGCAAGAGGAGAGTATAGTTGATGGGGTGATACGAAGTTACAGGGCCAGAGCAGGTGAGGCCTTGAATGTGGACCACTGTAAAGGAGTTTGGATCGTGTTCTGATGTCTTATTTCCATACACACAAGGTCTTTTGCAGGCAGACACCTCTGAGATCCTTTTCTGCTTTAAAATCCTGTGACTTTAAAGTAGTGATGTTACTTCAAGCCATCCACCTCAGTAACATGTTTTAGCAATCTCCTGCATCTCTAGACACTCTCCAGGGGCAAAGCCATTTACCCCTGCTGGTTGGTTGGTTGGTTGGTTTTTTTTTCAAGTGGGCAGCCAGCTACAGCCATAAAAGCCATGGCTGGCCCTGTCTGCTGCCCTGCCATCTCATTGCCCTTACTCAGCCTGTCAGAGCTGTGGTAGGCATGGACTGTGTTTGCCAGTATGTGGTATGTGTTTAAAGAATGTTAATCCCTACAAAGAGTCATTTTGTGTTTTTGGCATAGTGATAATTTTCATCCTCTAACTCTCTCTCATTTGCTGGAATGCTCCTTGTGCCCCGTTACAGAGTGGGCGACAACTGGGGTAGTAATGAAGCATTTGACAACTGTGTGAGTTGTAGGAACATGCCCCTTTTTGTAATAGAGGCATAATTGTAACCAAAGAAGTTTAATTTTTTCTTTAGCAAACACTGACATTTCTGTTTTAAGAATGACTTCTAGAGCAAAAGGAAATACAAAAATTACCATGTATCATGAGTACACTGAGAATTCTCTCTGTAATAGCTCAAAACTGATCTATTGCCAAAATTAAAACCATATGAGCATATCCTAAATTTCAACTATTACTGTGTTTGCTTTTAATTCTGTTTGGAATAAGGCTTCAAGTGCTTTCCAGAATGATGTGAGTTACAAATAAATAGAAAAAGAGTTTTGTTGTGTTCCATTTATTTTATTTGTACATATCCATTTCAAAAAAAAAATGACTTTAAAAATACAGTTCTGTCCCAGAATTGGATCCTTATCAGCACAACCACTGAAGGGAAAAAAAGTCATGCAAACTGAAACTATGGTCTTTTGTAGTGACTGAATGGAAGATGCAATTATTCCAGTAGAATATATAAGAAGCTCTGATTCGGCAACTGATAGCACAAAAGAGAACCCAAACTTCACTGGTTTGAAGCAAGGAAAACACAGTTTTACATATGGATATGATAAGGTTTGCACAGCCCTGTTGAAGGCCTGTATGAAACGAATGTAGCTCTGGGATCTGTTAAACATCATGTACTGACATGCCTCTCCTACCCACATCAGTTTGGTTACTGTTACTTTATTTCTTACTTTTGCTTGGCAGTAACAATAAGTAAATAGGTGATCATATGAAATCAAAACTGTAAGCTGACATTAGTCCAGTGAATGCAGTAACAAATCATCTCATGCTCTAAAGTTATGTTTGGTCATTGGTATTAATGTATCATTGCTGAAATGCACCACCAGGTATAAAAGAGATCAGGTTAGACAATTTATCCAGTTTGTTTTCCTAGCCATTCTGACAGCAGTCCAAGTAGCCAGTTTCCGAAAAATGAATGGACACATGTTGTTGGTGACTAGTCTGGGTTTTACTGTCTCGGGAAAGCTATATAATTTCACACTGTATTACCTCTTATCAAATTTAATCACATTTCTTATCAACAGTTGGAGTTGTCAGCCCAGTCTCTGTGGCTCTGAGCTACTGCTAGTGAATGAGACTTGAGGAAATAGCCACTAGAGGAGATGCCCAGGCCTGCCCCTCAGATGAAGGCCCTTCATCAGGCAACAGCATGTCAGTCCCGGGATGAGAAAGGGGAATGTGCTGCGGAGTTAGGGGCGCCAATCCCCTGCTTGACAGAGGGAGACCAGACAGACTGCCACGAGTCCTGGGGGCACTACCGGCGCACACCAGCACTCACTGCTACTTACACACCAGCAGCTCCGAGGCACGGCCGGGACCGCAGAGCAGCGTGCGTGCCGGGGGGCGGACAGCTGTGGGGAGCGGAGAGGGTGGAGCATACGAAATACATCATGCATGGTTTCCAGACACCTCTCAGGAAGGTCGACTTGGGCAGCAAACAGCAATGTTAGGATTGGGGCGGCGGCGGGGGCACTAAAGGTTTAACTTGAAACATACTGTGTTAAGGGATGAACCTTTTAATATTTTTTTCTGTCTCCACGCTCCTTAATGCACATGCTTTTTTGCTTTCAGAAAATAGAGTCAATAGCTGTGCAGAGTTGAAGAAAAACTTCCTCTGGCGTCCCCTCTGCATTTACCTATATTTAAAAGGGAAAAAAAGATAAAGTTAGTTTTTTTTTTTTAAGATCTTATTTAGAAAGAGAGAAGGCGCAAGAGCATAGGGAGAGGCAGGGGAGAGAGAGAATCTGAAACCGACTCCGCACCCACGACCCTGAGATCATGACCTGAGCCAAAATCAAGAGTTGGACGCTTAACTGACTGAGCCACCCAGGTGCCCCCAGAAAGTTAGTCTTAAGAAATATTTGGAGATAAGACTGTTTCTAACAATAAAAAAATGAATTACCTGCTCATAACTTGTGCAAAATTTTAAAATAGAGGAGACCCCAAAACCACAGAGGAAAAGGGAGTAGTTGTTTAAAAACTAGGTTTGTCTAAATTAAAACATCAGTGAGATACCACTACACACCTATTTGAACGGCCAAAATCCAAAAAACCCACCAGATGCTGGTGAAAGTGTGGCACAATGGGAATGCTCATTCTTTGCTGATGGGAATGCAAAACAGTACAGCCACTTTGGAAGACACTTTGGCAATTTCTTACAAAATTAAACATTCTTAACCATATCATCCAGGAATTGTGCATCTTGCCGTTTACCCAAAGGAGCTGAAAATTTATGTCCACACAAAAACTTGCACATAGATGTTTATAGGAGCTTTATTCATAATTGCCAAAACTTGGAAGCAACTAAGATTTCATTAGGTGAGTGGATAAACTGTGGTATCCAGACAGTGGAATATTATTTAGCACTCAAACGAGTTACCAAGCCATGAAAAGACTTGGGGGGAACTTAAATTCATATTACTAAGTGAAAGAAGCCAATCTGAGAAGGCTAAATACCGTGTGACATTATGAAAAAGGCAAAACTAGGGAGACAGTAAAAAGACTGAGTTGTGGGGAGAGAGGAAAGAATGGGTGGTATAAAGAGGATTTTTATGATAGTGAAACTTAATGGCGTATACAGGTCATCACATATTTGTCAAAATCCATTGAGTACGGACACCAAGAGTGAACCCTAATGTGCACCAACCTGGACTTTCGGTGAGAATGATGTGTTGATGGAGGTTCATCGATTGTGACATACTACGCTTGTGTGGGATGTTGATCATGGGGGAGATTGTGTTGTGTTTGGGGACAAGGGTATAATGAGAATTCTGTACTTTATGTTCAGTTTTGCTGTGATTTAAAACTCAAAATCTATTTAACACAACAAAAACTAGGTGCCTTGTTGAGGTAAAGTATCACTGAGGCTCACGGGAAGACGAGTTAAGACTTCTGAGTGCTGCAGAGCATTTGGAGCAGGACAGGAATAGGGCATGGGGTGGGACTGCAGAGAAGAAAGCGAAAGCTGGGACCGCAGCTGGTGCCCTTGGACGTTGTTGGTACGCCACCGCGAGGGGCCTGTCCCAGAGGAAGCAGGGAGGGAGCCGATTCCTGGGCATGAAGGCACTGCTACGTACCCTTCCTCTCTCAGAATTTCCTAACATTGTCCCAGCCACTGAGGAGTGTCCCACCACACCTGGGACAGCCACAGGAAGAGGAGGCCTGGTGACCCACCTAAGACTCGTGAGAGGGGTCGCAGCGAGCCTGCTGAGATGCAACTTTTTCAGGCTTTATCTCCACACGTTCTCATTTGCTAGGGTTGGGCTGGGCCATCTCATCCGCATATTTAACACATTCTCCAGATGATTTTGCTGTGGGTCATCTTGGACCACACTCTGAAAAACACTGATTTCTTCCACTCTTGTCTACCTTCTTTGTGCAAAATAGTTTCGATTTCACAACGCTAGGGACTTCACAGATCCTGAAGGTAAAATAAATTCTCAAACCCTCTGCCAAAAAAACCCCCACCACATTTAAATAGCCCAGAAAATAGATACAACAACGTTGATAGAAGTGATGTTTGTAATAGCCCCAAACTGGAAAAACTGCAAAAGTCCATCATCAATAGATGGATAAATAAATGGTGGCATAGTCACATGATGGAACAGTATAGTGATGGAAGAAATCCTACAGCTACAATCAGCAACAGGGGCTAATCTCTCAAAGTTGTAGTGAGAGAAGGAAGCAAGGCCTGGAAGAATATGCAGACAGTATGATTCAAGTTATGTAACATTCAAGAACAAGCAATGCTAAATTGTGTCGGTTAGGGATCCATACGTGAGTGGGAAGTCATAAAGAGAAGCAAGAAGGTGATTATCCTAAACTTCAGGAAAGTGGCCACTTCTTGGAGAGAGGAAGGAAGAAGTGACCTGGGGAGACCCAGGGAGCCGCCATTCCCTCCGACTTCTGGGCCCGTGTCGTCATTATGCGGTGTTCGTTTTATAATTCTTCAAACCATACACACTGCTTTTGCAGTACCGTGTGTATGATGTATTTCACAATAAGGAAAACATTAAAATTTAAAAAAATGTAAGCACCCCTCCCCCAGTAAATGTGTCCTACCCCAATCCTTCCAGGAGAGTCAGAGGCTTTCCACCTGGGGGCAGAGACTTGGGCTTGGCCGTGTCTGTGTCCCTCACAGCACCTTGCCTCTTGCGTTTCCTCTCCTTCCTTTTCCTTTCAACCAACAAACATTTCCTGGGTGCTAACAATATATTACGTGCTGGAGATACCAAACTGAACCAGACAACAGGATCCTGCTCTCAAGGAGCCCCCAGGTCAAGGGCAGAGACAAAAACTTAACAGGAATTGACACGGTTTGAGGTAAGTACAGGAGCACCTTCCAGGATGTTGGGAGGGCAGGGACACTTCCTGAGGAAAGTTGTCGTCATCATCTAAAACGATAAACTTCACCATTAATGAAGTGTAAGTGCTTTTATTTATTTTTAATTAAAATTTTTTCCACTTCTGCCCATGCTTGCTAGCTCCCTTCTCTCTCTCTCATCCTCTCTCAAGCCCCCCCTCATCCCCTCCCTCCCTCCAGTCCCTCCCCTCCTCACTTGCTCCCTCATTCCATTCCCGGCTCCCCAACCTCCATGCTTTTAAACAGGGAATTCTGACAAGGATCTTGGAAGACAGATACGGTCGTCCCCATTTCACACATGACAAAACTGAGGCTCTGAAAGATGAATTAAATTTCCCAAGGTCACACAGCTAAGTGTGTGGCAGGGACGTGGTCAAAACCCAGGTCTCTGACTCCAAAGTCCTTGCTCTTGTGACTACGTGATATTACATCCACCAGTTCAGAATGGCTGCATGGTTGAATTTGGTTGGGGCAGCAAGGAGTGAAGCTGGAATGGTAAGCCTTTGTTGACCATAAAGAGGCCTATAGATTCTGTTTCATGAGAATATTGGGGAATCACACGTAAGGGTTTTTAAAGTATGAGTTGATACAATCAATCACAGGTACATAAAAGTCGTTGATAAATATTTGCCTAGTCAAAAAATTGCAAGAGGGCTGGAGTGTAAGGCAAAGAGCACTGTATCAGGAGCGATGATAACCCGGTACTATCTCCGGTGAGCTTCGGGACTCAGACCAGGCATTCATCCCCTTGGGGCCTCAGTTTCCTCCTCTGTTCTGTAAAGGGACTGACGTCAGACATGGTAACCTCCAGGTTTGGTTCCAGCTCTGATACTCTATGCTATTCCAAATCTCGGTTGACATTTTCGTGGTGGTGAAGTGCCCATCAGTGGGTGTCAGGATTGTTCGTTGGGTGTTGACAGTCAAGCTGGGCCTACAGGACTAGATCTGCATTTGAAGATAATGAAGAATGAGAGCCTTCTCTGTGGAGAGACCAGCATGTGCAAAGGGGTAGGGCTCTAAAATCACGTGGAGTTTTCAGGGAACAGTGGGTCATTTGTTGACGATCCAGCAAATTCTGCTTGAGTTGGGGGAAGGAGAAGAGGAGGCTGGAAAAATAGCTCGGGATGAGATTTGCCTGTTGCCAGACATTTTCTATAAAAGCAATCACACGGTAAATGTGTTTTTTGGTGACTTCCCCCCCCCCCAGCACCATGTTTTCAAGTTTTGCCCATATTTTAGTGGGTATCAATACTTCATTCCTTTTCCTTTTTATTACCCCACAATGCCTTATTATCTTTAACCTGAATGTACAAGCCTTGGAATGAATGTCTGCCCTCCTAACATCTCTTTTTGGCAAACCTGCCACTGCCCTCTGCCCTGTGGAACCCGCCCTTGCCTTATCAAACCCTGGAAGGAGGGAAAGGGTGTTCACTCACTTCCCTGGCCCCTTCTCAGGTTCCCTCCCATGTAGTGGGGGTGGGTTAGAAGGTTTAGATCTGTAAAATGCCTTATTGTTTACACTGTCCATGACCATATTAGTGGCAGATAGGTCAGGTCTCTGGTCCCCCTGCTCAGCGAATTCCCACATGGAGAATATTCTAAGAGAACGGTTAAGTGACTTTGATATTTTCATATATTACTCTAACTCAAAGGAAATGGGAAAGAGCCAACTTAGTGCATTTTAAGTTACAGGAACTATTCTCCGTGCTTACAACTTTAACACATTGAAACCAGCTAACAAGGTGCTAGTTTTGAACATCCTTAGCGAACAGATAAGAATCCTGGATCCTGATTGGTTTGTGTGAAGGGGACTTCCTCAGCAATCGTGCAAACTTGAAAATAAGACATCCTCCAAGGTTTTGCTCCATAATCAGTGCTTATGCTGTATTAGTTTATAGCAACTCTCTTTTCCCACGAAGAGTTAAAGTAAGCTTCATGACGTCCTTTTCCCAAAAGACCTCCAAGTCTGACTTGGCAGAGTCAGAATGTATGCGGTTTTAATGTATTTAGTTGAAACCTAGGTAAGTGGATTTGCTTTTGACTTTAAGAACCTATCTTTTGGGGTCTGAGACTTGATATAAAATCCTGCAGTAAGTGATCAGTATAGAAAATACTTTTTTTTTTTTTATAAAAACAGCTAAGAGCAAGTGAACAGGAAACACGATCGAATCTGAGTTTTCACCTGACTTCTCAAAGGAGAGCACTAAGGGATAATATTTCCCAGCAGTCAGCAGAACATGTCGCTCAATTAGGAGAGTAGTTACACTGCCTTAG